TTTTTTTTTTTTTTTTTTACTAAATTTCTTCTTGTTTTTTTTTCACTTAGCTATGCCATGAAGAAGCAAAGATACAAACAAGTTTCTATTAATTTTGCAATATTTTCATTAAAATTTGTAAAACTTGTTCGAAAATGAATAAGTCATAGTAGAATGAACATTTAACTGCTTTAGATACATTTATATTGATGAGTTCCGGCCAAAGATATCATGCTATTAGACAGTAACAGTGACATGTTTATCTGAGTTAACAGAAGTTTACGGAAGAAAAAAAGCAATCTTATTATCGATTACTATGGATTTTAAGGTTTTTTAAATTTGTTTAGTTTTAAGGTTCGAGTTGGTTTACTGCGAAAAATGACCAGTGCCTTGGTAGGCATTACTTTGGTTTATCATTTTACTGGCGTTAAGGTGTTATATTCGTTGATTTCTGTCATCTTCACAATTCTTGTCAATTGGTTGGCTTCTTACCGGTAAATTTTTTACATTCTATTTCTTTTCTTACGAAATTTGTAGCTTTTGTTTCAGAAATGTTTTAATTGTTTAAAAATTTTGAAGGTTTTCAAATTTTTTTCTTGTTATTTATCAGTTTTATTTTTTGCAACTTTTTTTATTTTTGGCTTTGAAAATGTGAATGGTATGACAGTTGCGACATGCAGGTAAAAGTTTTTGTTGTTTGCGGACAGTTGGTTATTACTTAATTGGTCTTTATCGTTAACTGGCTTCATGTGTACATTTAGATACTTGGGACTTATTTCATTCTTATTTTCATTCACTTATCTTGGTTTCTTACGAACGGCTCATCTTTTTGGTTTTCCTGCCTTGGAGTCACATGCCAACGCTGTTCAGCTGATAATGACATTACGGGTATCCGCGAAGTTTTCGGCAAAAATTCTTTTATATTAACTATGCGGTACGATGAACAATATTGCAGGAAGCTTTATCCATCTTTTTATTATATATTTATAGTTGGTTGGTCTATGCTTTGAAATACAAGACGCAAGAAATCAAAAGCATATGAAATTAGCAACACTTGAATCTGTCCGAGAACCAAATTTTCTAGAAATTTTCCTTTACGCTTACAGCTTCCCTGGTTTATTTACAGGTAATTACTGATCTATTATATGACGCTTCGTATTTGTTAGGTATTAAGTTTTCCTTTGATACCAGCATCTTTAAATTATTTTTTCTTTCAATGGTATAATGTGTTCTCATTTGATGCTCTGCTAAATTTCAGGTCCATATTACACCTACGCAATGTATCAAGATGTAATGAACAATAAAGCTGTTAAGTACATACCGGTATGGAGATTTCTGAGATGGCGGTTATGCAACCTTCTTTGGGCGTGTCCAGTTTTCCTGCTTCTTGTTTACTTGTTTCCTCTTGACGTAACATTTATTTCAGTATTTTTTTTCTCTTTTTTGATTTTCAAGTAGGTAATTGCTTTCTTCGAGTTTGACATTATTATCCATTTCAGATGATGCGATCAGAAGCATTTTTCAATGAAAATTTAATACATAAAATATGCGTCAGCCTTTGCGTATTTTTATGGATGCGCTGTAGAATGTACAGTGCTTGGATGGTTGCTGAGTCTATTTGTGTACTAAATGGGGTTGGGCTTTATCCAAAGTCATGTGAACCTCAAGTTGGCCGAGGGCCTGTTTTACGGCAAGAATACGAGTATGTTTTTGTAGCACATTTTCATTTCGTTCATTCATCGATTTTAAAAATTTAATTTGAAAATTCACTTCTGTAATGCACTGGGAAGTTCTGTTAAAATATTTTTCTAATATTTTTTTCACACCACTGATAACTGGTACAGAGGTAGCAAATTACTTTTTGGGTTTTTCCGGTTTATCATCGTTTTGATAACTGTAAAAGTTTTTTCAGGTAGAAAAAAATTGTCGTTTCAGGCAAAAAGTCTTTGATAAAAATGTTGAAATGAGTTCGGAAGCTGTACGAAACGTCAACATAGTTGATGTTGAGTTTGACTCAACGTTTCGGAATGGCGTTCGGGCATGGAACAGATCTGTGCAGTACTGGCTGGTGGCCTACGTTTACAAACGAGTTCCTCGCACTTTCAGGTAACTGCGTAAAGACAGAAAATTTTTAATGAAACTAGGAACGCAATGAATTTAAATCATTCGCTTCATAATGTTTCTGTTTTATTCGCTGGCCATTTTACGCTAATTTAGTTTTTGAAATAAGTTGAAAATTTTGCTCAGGGTGGTTGTAACGATGGCAGTGAGTGCTTACTGGCATGGTATACATCCGGGTTACTATTTAGCCTTCTTTACGCTTCCTCTTTGTACTTTGGCAGAGGATATGTTTGTTGCCGCAGTGCCAAAAGATCGTAGAGGGAAACCAACTTCTGGCTATCGCTTCATGTAATCTTGTAACAATTTTTTATGCAACTGCAATGAGAAAAGCTTGGGTTTTAAATCAAAATTATAATAAAAGGAAAAGTCAATTTAGGCTTAGAAAAATACCGAAGTTTTTTTTGCGAGACACATTGTTTTTCAGTAAATAGATGAGTGAGAAGAAGTATTTGTTTCAATAAGAGAAATATTTTCAGATGGTATCTGCTTAGACAACTTGGATTTGCATATATGGCTGCAGGATTCTTGCTGCTCTCCTATGAGGATACATTACGTTATTGGAATTCTGTTCATTTTTACTTTCATTGGATTATTGGTATCGTTATAGTCACTATGTGGTTAAATAAAGCATTTTATTTGGTAGCAACAGGCGGAAAAGGTTTCTATATTCTTCATAACAGAATTTTAAACTTTATTATTTCTTGAATTGCTTAATAATTCTTGAGGGGAAGCAGTTTTTGCGGAGTAATGAAAAGGTAATTCTTGTTGAATATTTTATTTTAGGTTCTTTGCAAACACAAAACATGACGAGAAATGAAGACGATAGAGAACGGGTTAGATTTTTGAAACGTTATGGCAAAAAAGGTTTAGAGTGATGTGTTGATTCCTCTTATTGCAGGATGAATCAAATAATCAAGATGAAGCGAAGAAGAAGAAATAACTGCGATTCAGTAAGATAATTAACACTGTGATGTGTTGGAAGTTGCACGTTTTAGGGCACGTCTAACGAATGCTTACCTGTCCACCTCAACAGTTTTAGCGCTCCTTTTTATGCAATTGTTTTTATGCCGGATTCTAAAGAATCTGTGATTGTCCACATATTTGTTTTGTTTTTTATAACTCTTGTTTTTTGCATCTTCAAAAAGTCTGAACCAAATTGTTATTAAATGTTACCTCAGCTGTGGCCTTTTTAGATAACTTCATTATATATTTTCCTTGGTTGGTAATACTCTGTTTGGTAAGTTAGTTATCATGTATAGTGCTTGTTCGAATTGGTGGTCAGTCAGTTTTGGTACCCCATAACAAACTGTAAAAAAAGTTTCAAAACTGTACGAATTGCTGACCTGGATTTAAAAAATTGATGAAAATTTTTGTTTTGGTGTAAGTAATGTCGCTTAGAAGTAGCTTTATAGAACTAGTTAAATATTAAGGTGGCTATATTTTAATTTTATATAAGTAGAATACTTTTTTGTCATATGATTAATGTTGTGGTCCGTGATGATTACTAAGTATTATACAAAGGCAC